TCGAGGGACGGCAGCGCGCCGCTCCTCACTCCTCCGAGTTTCCGCCGACAGAGGCTCCGCTGCAGACTCTTCACATGGACGTGTGGGGCCCAGCCCGCGTCCGTGGACCGGGTCACGAGCGCTACTTCCTGCTGGTGGTTGACGACTACTCGCGTTACACCACAGTCTTCCCCTTGCGCCGCAAGGATGAGGTCACTGAGGTGTTGATCGACTGGATCCGCGCTGCTCGTCTCCAGCTCCGGAAGAGTTTCGGCTCGGACTTTCCTGTCCTGCGTCTGCACTCCGACAGAGGTGGGGAGTTTTCCTCCGGCCCTCTGCGAGCCTTCTGTCGTGCGAGGGGCATCCGCCAGACGTTCACGCTTCCGGCCTCTCCACAGCAAAATGGGATTGCTGAGCGCCGCATTGGCATGGTCATGGATGTCGCTCGTACGTCCATGATCCATGCGGCTGCTCCCCATTTTCTGTGGCCGTTTGCGGTTCAGTACGCGGCGCATCAGATCAACCTTCAGCCCCGGGTCTCCATGCCGGAGACCTCCCCCACTCTGCGGTGGACGGGGAAGGTTGGCGATGCGTCTGCGTTCCGTGTCTGGGGATCTCGGGCTTTTGTCCGAGACTTGTCTGCGGACAAGCTGTCCTCCCGTGCTGTTCCCTGCGTCTTCCTTGGCTTCCCCCCTGACGCGCCTGGTTGGCAGTTTTACCATCCCACCTCGCGCCGTGTTCTGTCCTCCCAGGACGTCACGTTTGACGAGTCGGTTCCCTACTACCGTCTCTTCCCCTACCGCGCTGCCCCCCTCCCCCCCCCGCCGCTCTTCCTTACGTCAGGTCTCCCCCCGGTAGACCCCCTCCCCCCTCAGGGTCCTGCTCCTTCAGGTGTGTCTCAGGTAGACCCCCCCCCCTTGGCTGAGCCTTTGGAGGTCACTTCCGACACCTCTGGCCCACCTGAGGGGGGTGACGTTGCTGCTGACCCCCTCGTGGCCTACCGCCGCACACCACGCTTGGAGACCCCTCCGGGGTTCCCTCCGCGACCTTCTTCACCGCCTCTGCAGCCGGTTACTGTTGACTCTGGTGCTGCTGGGGGTGGTGCTCCTAGGGGTGCGGAGTCTGGGGTTGCGGAGTCTGGGGGTGCTGAGCCTGCGCGTGAGGAGACTGGAGGTCCTGCGCCTGGGGGTGCTGTGTCTTGGGATGCTGCGCCTGTGTGTACGGAGTCTGGGGGTGCTGAGTCTGGAGGTGAGACGCTTGAGGGTACTGGGACTGCTGGTGCGCGGCCTACTTGGAGTGGCCGCCTTCGTCCGCGTGTGCCTCTCACCCCGCCGTCAGGGTCGCGCTGCTGGAGCCCGGGGCTCGTCTACTGGAGGTGCTGGAGTCGCTGGTCCCAGAGGTACTCTTACTGGAGGTACTGGAGGTGCTGGGGCTGGGGGTGCTGCGTTTGGGGGTGCCGCTCCTGGAGACACTGAGGTCGGAGACCCTGGGACTGGAGGTGCTGGTTCTGGGGGTGCTGCTGCGGGAGACCCTGCGGTTGGAGACCCTGGGGCTGGAGGTGCCGGTTCTGGGGGTGCCGTTCCTGGTGATGCTGAGTCTGGAGGTGCTGGCACTGGAGGTACTGGTTCTGCGGCTGAAACTTCAGGAGCTGCTGGAGGTGCTGGAGCGGCTGGAGGCGCTGGAGCTGCTGGAGGCGCTGGAGCTGCTGGAGGTGCTGGAGCGGCTGGAGGCGCTGGAGCTGCTGGAGGTGCTGGAGCTACTGGAGCTCCTGGTGCTGGTGCAGCTGCGCCGACACGACTGTTCTTCGCTCCGCCGTCTCCGTCGTCTCTGCCGCCGCCTGACTCTGCTCTTCGTCAGGTTGTTACTCTCCCGTCGTCTACTGGTCTTCCGTTACAGACTGGCTCACCGCTACCTGCTCCCTCTCCTTACACTGAGCAGACAGGTAGTCCTGCTGAGCGTCGTGAGCCTGCGTCGCGTCCTGTCTCGCCTGTTCGTTCTGGTCGTACCAGTCGTCGTGTTGCTCGTCCGCGTCAGCCGGCTGTCCCCAGCGCACACCTTGTAGTCCGTCGTCCTTCCTCTGCTCCGCAGTCTGCTCCTCTGCCTTCCCCCCCTGCGTCCTCTCTGCCTGACGTTCCCGACCCTGAGTCTGACCGGTTTCGTGCTGAGCACCCTACTGTCACGCGTCTGTTAGCCACTGTTGTCACTGACCCGTCGTTTGAGTCTACTGCTGCGTCTGCCTTGGTTGCTGGACTTGTTGACTTTGCTGCTGCCTGTCGTCTAGACTACGCCGCTAGTCTTGTTGCTGAGTCTGAGTCTGTCTGTCCTCCGTCCGTCGGGGGTGAGTGTGCTCTTAGCACGGACGTCCTTGAGGACAGGCAGGAGGAGTTCCAGTGTCTTGCTGCTGCTTTACCTCATCTCGTGGCCATGCTGCTTGCCCCTGAGGGAGACCCGGATGCACTTGACATCCCGACTCCGCGCTCTTACGCGGAGGCGATAGAGGGTCCCTACTCCTCTCAGTGGAAGGCAGCCATGGACGCAGAGATGGCTTCTTGGAAGTCCACAGGCACCTACGTTGACGAGGTTCCCCCACCTGGGGCGAACATCGTTAGTGGCATGTGCCTTTCCAGGGTGAAGCGGCCGCCGGGTTCTCCGCCTGTCTTCAAGGCGCGTTACGTGGCTCGAGGCTTCAGTCAGCGGCAGGGAGTTGACTACTTTCAGACCTTCTCTCCCACCCCGAAGATGACCACTCTTCGGGTGCTACTGCACGTTGCCGCTCACCGTGACTACGAGCTTCACTCGCTTGACTTCAGCACAGCTTTCCTACAGGGCAGCCTGCACGAGGAGATCTGGCTGCGCCGTCCACCTGGCTTCACTGGGTCGTTTCCTCCTGGTACCCAGTGGAGCCTCTGGCGGCCAGTCTACGGTCTCCGCCAGGCGCCCCGTGAGTGGCACGACACACTGAGGACTACGCTTGCGGCTCTTGGGTTTGCTCCTTCTACAGCCGACCCGTCGCTGTTTCTACGCACCGACACCACTTTGCCGCCCTTCTACATCCTCGTGTACATCGACGACTTGGTCTTCGCTACAGCTGACACTGCTGGACTCGCCCACGTGAAGTCCGAGCTGCAGAAGAGACACACGTGCACAGACCTGGGTGAACTGCGCAGCTATCTTGGCTTGCAGATCACTCGGGACAGAGCACGGCGCACCATCACTCTGACCCAGTCACACATGGTGCAGCAGGTCCTTCAGCGCTTCGGCTTCACGTACTCCTCGCCTCAGGCCACTCCTCTGTCTACTCGCCACTCGCTCTCAGCTCTGCCTTCGGATGAGTCCGTAGAGCCGAGTGGCCCGTACCCAGAGCTTGTTGGCTGCCTCATGTACCTGATGACCTGCACTCGACCTGACCTGGCCTACCCTCTTAGCATTTTGGCACGCTATGTTGCTCCTGGGAGACACCGACCAGAGCACATGGCTGCAGCGAAGAGGGTGTTGCGCTACTTGTGCAGTACATCGGGCATGGGGCTAGTGCTTGGAGGGAAGAGTCCAGTGGTCCTCACTGGTCACGCAGACGCGTCTTGGGTTGACGACCTGGCTACACAGCGGTCGTCACAGGGTTACACCTTCAGCCTTGGCTCCGGCTCTGTTTCGTGGCGGTCTACCCGCTCGTCCTCTGTTCTCAGCTCCAGCTGTGAGGCTGAGATCTACGCAGGAGCCATGGCTGCACAGGAGTTATGCTGGCTGACTTACCTTCTTACTGACCTGGGAGCGTCGCCTCGTTCTCCTCCAGTTCTGTACGTAGACAACAAGGCCATGCTCGCCTTGTGTCAGGAGCACAGACTGGAGCACAGAACGAAGCACATTGCTCTTCGCTACTTCCTTGCTCGTGAGCTGCAGCAGCGTGGTCAGCTGCGCCTTGCTTACGTGGCCACTCGGGCCAACACTGCTGATATCTTCACCAAGGCTTTTCCGTCCGCCTTGCGATCATCAGCGCTTTTGTACTATGCTAGGTCTTGTGCCTACTTGGCCTCACTTGCTCACTTCTTGACCTTGCTTGTACTGTGTCTTATATATACCTGCTCTTGTTTGTTTACCTCTATATATCATCCTGCATGTGAACTGGCCTTGAGGCCTTGAACCTTTGCTCAGAATGTGTGGTGACGTTGTGATCCACCCTGAGCTTTGCTTTGGTTTGCTTTGCTTGACTGGTCTTGTGACCTCTTGTTCTCCCCCACTTTGCCTATAGGGGTGTGTCAAACATTATATAGATGTGTGTAGTTGTTGTGTAGGCTACAGTGGGTTTAGCCTTAGGGGGTACAGAAGTTTGCTCGACACTTCTTTGTATCCCCCTCCTTGCCCTAATCTCGACCATACCTTCATACTATTTTCACAACGCGTACCCTATTACTCCCCACACACACGCGCGCGGTCAAGTCCGTTTCAGCGTGACTCACTGAATTACAGCAACACGCAAAATGGTCAGTGTGGCAAAATAGGTTATATTGATTTTCCAGTGCAAAATTGAAGCATATGCTGAATTTTCAGGGAAAACGAAAATCTGAGCTACAAAATCAGCGTAATCAGCGTGTTTTACGCTGATATCTGAGGGCCTGCCCGTAACACTTCTAAACAAATGCAATCATGTCGATCCTACATACCATACAATAAGACCCAACGGTCCCATAGATATTTTGCTGAAATGGTGATGGGTGAACATTACAAAGGGTCTTTTTTAATTACCCTAAGAGGATGTTCCTCTAGGGTCCAGACTTGCTTTATACAACACAATTCAATATTGAGGTTTTGAGAACCACTTTTTTCGCATATGATGTTTTCAAGCCACTTGTTCCTTTGCCTTTTGAACCCCAATGCACCGATCCGAGCCGAGGAGGAGCCATGATACCCCAACAGTTCACACCAGGGCGGAGCAGCACGCAGCGCCTTAGTGGTGAGATGCTTGTGCCTGAATGCGCGCCGAGACAGATGCTTTTTCGTTAGCCCGCTAATCGTCATCACTCGCCATGGTTCGCCCGCACACGTCGCTCGTTAGTCGCTGGCTCTCGCGCTTTTACTTGATTGGGTCGCGAAGAGCAGCTTCAGTCGTCGCAGCCGTCGCGATCGTCGCGTCAATCTCCGCCGTCGGATTTCTCCTATCGCCAGGCTTTTCTCTACCGTTCTGGCCGTCGTTCCTCCCCAGGGGCCCTGCGTCACCTCCCTCCGCTTTCCCGCAGAGTGGTTGCGAAATTGCGAGGAACTGTCGCGAGAAGCGATTGGATCGATACATTTACGTCGATCAGGATCCGTCAGAATTCTGGTGAGATTAGAACGGGGATATTGTGCTGAATAGAGGTGAATTTGAACTGTTGAAACGGTTCCAAGTGAAGCGTCTCCTGCTTCACGAGCTAATGTGATACAGCAATTCTCCTCAAATGCATTTCTCTTGCTGCATTAGCCTGCGCGTCTTCGTGTTTTTGAGAAAATGTTACTAACGCGGATGAATCGGGATTGGTTGGAGCAGGTGGGAGGACTCAGCCAATCGCATTCGAGACAAGGCCCCCAAGGGGTGGTGGACGGGTTACATTCTGCGGGTTACCACACATCGTTGGTTCAACAGGACCGTTTCAGACCGAATCCAATGGTGGCATTGGATGACCGTGATTGTAAGACGCAGTGCTGCGATGGTAATGCGGTAACAAGGTAACTGCAATGCGGGTGCACTATGGGATGAGCCATTGAAAACGTGATTGTACTTGTTAGGTTGTGGACTCTAACTGCCGTGTGATTTCCTGTTGTCTTCGTCACGACAGTGTTTCAGCAATGTATGCGGAATGATTTCCGCCAACTTTTTTGTGACGGTTGTCGCCATACCACACCATTCCGACAGGCGCCTGACAACATGCACAACGCACTCGAAGGGCTCGTCCTGTTTGTCATCAGGTCAGGGTGGACTCAACTCAACTCGACAGTCCCGTTTGCACCCCTCTCAACCGCAATGCACCCCTCCGCACAGGCGCCTGACGACATGCACAACGCGCACAAGGGGCTCGTGCTGTTTGTGATCGGGTCGGGGTGGTCTCAGTTCCACTACTACCACCTGCCCGACAAGGACGAGATGTTCACCGCTGCTTTTGCCCCGTACGTGCTGCTGCTGCTGCTTCTCGCTGCTGCTAAAGCAAAAGGGCTCGTCTTCTTGTGTGCGAGCATGCTTGTGGCGGAAGGGCTTGGCGTGATGAGAAGGGGGGACTTGTGAGTTAGATGCTCTCCCCATATGCCTCCACCGAATCTTGCACGCATTGAAACGTGGTGCTGAAAGGCCTGGCATGGTGTGTGGTACCACCGTACCAGCCTGGCATGGTGTGTGGTGCCACCGTACCAGCCTGGCATGGTGTGTGGTACCACCGTACCAGCCTGGCATGGTGTGTGGTACCACCGTACCAGCCTGGCATGGTGTGTGGTACCACCGTACCAGCCTGGCATGGTGTGTGGTGCCACCGTACCAGCCTGGCATGGTGTGTGGTACCACCTACCAGCCTGGCATGGTGTGTGGTGCCACCGTACCAGCCTGGCGTGGTGTGTGGTGCCACCGTACCAGCCTGTTGCTCTATTGAGCATGGCTTTTGAGTCGACCCAAGAAACGGTGCTATGACCCATGGTATTAGACCAGCCTGGTGCTCTTTTGAGCATGGCCGCGGTGTCAGAGAAGGCCTTGCCGCCGCGCCGTGATCTGATCAGGAGGGGCGCACATGCTGCGTGACCAATGGCGCACAGATTCTCTTCGGGGAGTAGGCGATGGTGCCGGCCAGCTGGTCTTGTTTCTGAGGCGCCTCAAAAAATAATCTGAGGCGCCTAAAAGATTCTCGTGGGGAAGTAGGTGATGGTGCCAGACAGCTGGCCGGGCGAGCATGTCATGTCATGGTGCTTCGTTGATTGTGTGCTCTTTTCCACGCTCTCAGTACCACGCTCTCTCAGTACCACGCTCTCTCAGTACCACGCTCTCTTCTGTTAGTCCGCGCAGCTCAGCTCAGCCACACCTGCCAGCTCTGCCACGATCTCCTCTGTTAGTCCGCGCAGCGCAGCTCAGCTCAGCCCCACCTGCCAGCTTGGCAACAGATTTCGCAGCTGGCGCTGTATCGTCGGAAAGAAACATTTTTGAGTCGACTCAAAAATGGCCTGCCAGCTTGGCAACGGATTTCGCAGCTGGTGATGTATCGTCGGAAGAAACATCATTGCCTCACCTCACCCACCACCGATTCCTGTATTGCGTGGTCCATTCGATGTTACTGTGCCACGTGGCAGGCTGGTAGTGGAGCTGGGGATTCTGGGAGCAGTGCTGCATCAGCAGCCAATGGAGCCAATCACTTTCTTACCGGGCATTAATGGGCCGGGCAAGTCCGTGCTGGAAGAAGACGAGCTCATGGCGTGTGAGTGAGATTGAGTGAGTGAGAGTGAGTGAGTGAGTGAGTGAGTGAGTGAGTGAGAGGTGATGGTCTGTGAGTAAATGAGTGAGTGAGTGAGGTGATTGCATGTGAAAAAGTTATGGCGAGATGTGTAAAGTTATGGCGAGATGTGTATATGTTAGACCGTCCCACACATATATGTCAGCCATGTAAGTGCACATGGTCATTCGCATTTCGTGAATGTAAGATGTTACATTGGCCATGTAAGATCTTTCGGAGTGTCGTCGTCCGTGAATGAGTAACACTTCAACAAGAATAGTCATTTGTGAATCCAATGACATTCAAGTTCATCCATCCATCCATCCATCCATCCATCTATCCATCCATGCATGCTCCTCTATCCCAGTCTCCTTTGCAATGGCGTTGTGTAGGTTCGAATAGCAATTCGGAATCATCGCATGCCCATCTGACCACACATGCATGCACCACTGTTCCCCTATCCCAGTCTCCTTCGCCATGGCGTTCAAGTATCCCGAGGAGATAGAGTGGCAGCTCACAGAGCCCATGCGATTCATAATATGCCCATTCTCATCCACCCATGCATCCTCCCAGTCTCATTCGCCATGGCATTGAAGTATCCCAATGAGATAGAGTGGCAGCTCTCAGTGCCCATGGCCAAGTCCATCGTCAGGGGAATGGATGCACTGCAGCTCGCCTCCAGAGAGATTTTCCCCCACCTGCCGGTCAGTGCCACTCGGCTTGCTCCCGGTCAGTGCCACTCGGCTTGCTCCCGGTCAGTGCCACTCGGCTTGCCACCCAGTCACTGCCACTTGCCACCCAGTCACTGCCACTTGTCGCCCAGTCACTGCCACTTGTTGCCCAGTCACTGCCACTTGTCGCCCAGTCACTGCCACTTGTCGCCCAGTCACTGCCACTTGCCACCCAGTCACTGCCACTTGCCACCCAGTCACTGCCATTTGCCACCCAGTCACTGCCACTTGTCGCCCAGTCACTGCCACTTGCCACCCAGTCACTGCCACTTGCCACCCAGTCACTGCCACTTGTCGCCCAGTCACTGCCACTTGCCACCCAGTCACTGCCACTTGTCGCCCAGTCACTGCCACTTGTCGCCCAGTCACTGCCACTTGCCACCCAGTCACTGCCACTTGCCACCCAGTCACTGCCACTTGTCGCCCAGTCACTGCCACTTGCCACCCAGTCACTGCCACTTGCCACCCAGTCACTGCCACTTGCCACCCAGTCACTGCCACTTGTCGCCCAGTCACTGCCACTTGTCGCCCAGTCACTGCCACTTGTCGCCCAGTCACTGCCACTTGCCACCCAGTCACTGCCACTTGCCACCCAGTCACTGCCACTTGTCGCCCAGTCACTGCCACTTGTCGCCCAGTCACTGCCACTTGCCACCCAGTCACTGCCACTTGTGCCGTGCCAGTCAGTGCAATGCAATGCGTTACAATCACTGACTAGTCATGAGCTGTATGGACTGTTGTTATGCTCTGGTTAGGTACATACAACTTACAGCTCTCGATTTTGATGTGGCATGGGTCAAATATGGAATGTGATGTGGTGGTGTGTGGTGTGGAATTGGATGTCTGTTGGCATGTGGTTTGCGTGTAGCATGTGCCGAGTGGTCTGCGGTTTTTGGCATGGGATGTGTGGGACGGGAAGTGGGGCACGGGGTGCATGTGTGGGATGGGACGTGGGGCACGGGATGCATGTGTGGGATGGGACGTGGGGCACGGGATGCATGTGTGGGATGGCATGGAATGGAACAGGTGGAAGGCTTTGTGCTCATGGGAGTGAGCAAGAGAGGGCTGATGGCATGGCTGACAGCAGCTATGGATAAGGTGAGAAGGGTGCGCATGCCCGTTGCATCCACCTGTTCCACTTGCATGGCATCACATGGTCCACTATTGCATGGCATCACATGGTCTACCATTGCATGGCATCACATGGTCTACCATTGCATGGCATCACATGGTCTACCATTGCATGGCATCACATGGTCCACTATTGCATGGCAGCTACCATCGCAGTAGTGATGTGCAGCAAGGAAATGTCAAGAGGAATGGTGATGATGGTTTGCAGCGCACTCTTGCCTGTCTCCCAGAGACTCGCCTCAAACCAGCCTGGGTTTACACACACACACACACACACACACACACACACACACACACACACACACACACACACACACACACACACACACGTGCGCACGCACGCACGCACGCCACACGCACGCGCGCACACACACGCACGCACGCACGCACGCACGCACGCACACACACACACAGACACACACACACACACACACACGCACGCACGCACGCACGCACGCACGCACGCACGCACGCGCACGCACGCACGCACGCACGCACGCACACACACACACACACACACACACACACACACACACACACACACACACACACACACACACACACACACACACAAATATATGTTCCTATCTTTCATTCAACCTGCATCCGCGCGTCGCACTGTTCCTTTTTTTTATTGTTTTTTTGTTTGTTTGTTATTCGTTTATGTGTTCTTTTTTGTCTCCCCATGGCAGAGGGTGGTGGGCATAGTGGCGTACGGCTTTGACCTGCTGGACTTTGGGCGCAACTTCCAGCATCTGCACGACTCGCTGGGCGCGTGGCCGGTCATCCTCAAGTTCTACGCCATCTTCAACGTCACCTCGCAGTTGCAGTCACCTGAATTTACAAGGCTCATGGTAAGCACCGGGTGACGAAGGAAGTGTGACAGAGTGAATGGTGGGTCATGTGGTGTGTGTGAGTAGTCGCGAGGTCGGCCGTCCTTAGCCACCTTTAATTCCACCTTTGATGTCACCTGCAAGTTGCAGTTGCCCATAAACTCACGGCTCCATTTCCTGACGAGCGTGCTGAGCCTAGTGGTGACTACGCGGAGCTGGTGGACTACCTCATGTACCTGATGACCTGTACTTATGTACCGGTACCACGACTGCACAGGAGTTGCGTTGGCTCACCTTTCTGCTCGCCTCGTACTGCCCTAGTGCTCTTTGCTGACAACAGGTCCATGATCCTGTAACCTGTTTTGTGAGGAACCTCGACTGGTGGGGCATACGAAGCACGTTGAGCTGCAGTACTTCTTCTTTCGTGATTTGCAGCTATATGCCAGCTTTGCTGTCACTTGTGCCAGCTTTGGTGCCACATATGCCACCTTTGGTGCCACCTCCCAGCTCCAGTCGCCCGAGCTGCTAAGGCTCGTTGTGAGCACAAGGCAATGGAATGTGCGAGAGAGAGAATGGTTGGACTTGAACGTGTGCTTTCTACGCCCAGATGCTTCGTTTCCTCTCACTCATGCCCACTTTTCGCCTTGTCTCATCACCCATGCTGCCCACATCGCCCCGTGGATGGCTGGCTAATTGCAGGAGGACACGGACCCATTCTACTACAGGGAGCGCCTCACCATGCCCAAGCTGCTCGTCAGTGCAGCCAACGATGAAGTGCTGGCACTGGATGACACGTGAGTGGGGCTCAGGGTTTCGAATTTCGGGGTTATGGTCGCTGGCATGTGAGTTGGGTGGCACGTGACTTGGCCTTAAGGTTCAGGGTCTAGAATTTAGGGTTGTTCACATGTGACTGGGGTGAGTCGTGGGATGATGATATTTTTGAGTTGGTCCAACACACATCCCTTCTGAGTTGATAACGGCAGCACACATGAGCTCCACCCTTTATCTGCCCATTCTCCCCCATCCTCCACTCGTTCTCCCCTGGTCCTTCTCAAGCCCTTTTCTATCCCTCCACTTCCTCCCACTCTTCCTCCATTCTCCCCTTCCTCTCCCAAAATGGTCCTGTGTATCAATAATTAGCCAACAGGCAGACAAGTGAAGCCAACATGATATTTGCCCTTTCTCTTCCTCTCTTTCTCTCCTCTCCCCCCACTACCCCCTTTCTCTCCCCTCTCTCTCTTCCCCCGCCAGGTACATCTGGTGGAACGACATGCCCGAGCCAAAGCTGCTCAAGATAATGGCTAACTCGGAGCACATGCAGATCCACGTCAACCAATGGGTGAGCACATGCAGATCCACGTGAACCAATGGGTGAGCACATGCAGATCCACGTGAACCAATGGGTGAGCACATGCAGATCCACGTGAACCAATGGGTGAGCACATGCAGATCCACGTGAACCAATGGGTGAGCACATGCAGATCCACGTGAACCAATGGGTGAGCACATGCAGATCCACGTGAACCAATGGGCGAGCACATGCAGATCCACGTGAACCAATGGGCGAGCACATGCAGATCCACGTGAACCAATGGGTGAGCACATGCAGATCCACATGAACCAACGGGTGAGCACATGCAGATCCACGTGAACCAATGGGCGAGCACATGCAGATCCACGTGAACCAATGGGTGAGCACATGCAGATCCACGTGAACCAATGGGTGAGCACATGCAGATCCACGTGAACCAATGGGTGAGCACATGCAGATCCACGTGAACCAATTGGGTGAGCACATGCAAATCCACGTCAACCAATGGGTGAGCACATGCAGATCCACGTGAACCAATGGGTGAGCACATGCAGATCCACGTGAACCAATGGGTGAGCACATGCAGGTCCACGTGAACCAATGGGTGAGCACATGCAGATCCACGTGAACCAATGGGTCAGCACATGCAGATCCACGTGAACCAATGGGTGAGCACATGCAGATCCACGTGAACCAATGGGTGAGCACATGCAGATCCACGTGAACCACATGCAGATCCACGTGAACCAATGCGTGAGCACATGCAGATCCACGTGAACCAATGGGTGAGCACATGCAGATCCACGTGAACCAATGGGTGAGCACATGCAGATCCACGTGAACCAATGGGTGAGCACATGCAGATCCACGTGAACCACATGCAGATCCACGTGAACCAATGCGTGAGCACATGCAGATCCACGTGAACCAATGGGTGAGCACATGCAGATCCACGTGAACCAATGGGTGAGCACATGCAGATCCACGTGAACCAATGGGTGAGCACATGCAGATCCACGTGAACCAATGGGTGAGCACATGCAGATCCACGTCAACCAATGGGTGAGCACATGCAGATCCACGTCAACCAATGGGTGAGCACATGCAGGTCCACGTGAACCAATGGGTGAGCACATGCAGATCCACGTGAACCAATGGGTGAGCACATGCAGATCCACGTGAACCAATGGGTGAGCACATGCAGATCCACGTGAACCAATGGGTGAGCACATGCAGATCCACGTGAACCAATGGGTGAGCACATGCAGATCCACGTGAACCACATGCAGATCCACGTGAACCAATGCGTGAGCACATGCAGATCCACGTGAACCAATGGGTGAGCAGATGCAGATCCACGTGAACCAATGGGTGAGCACATGCAGATCCACGTGAACCAATGGGTGAGCACATGCAGATCCACGTGAACCAATGGGTGAGCACATGCAGATCCACGTGAACCAATGGGTGAGCACATGCAGATCCACGTGAACCAATGGGTGAGCACATGCAGATCCACGTGAACCAATGGGCGAGCACATGCAGATCCACGTGAACCAATGGGCGAGCACATGCAGATCCACGTGAACCAATGGGTGAGCACATGCAGATCCACATGAACCAACGGGTGAGCACATGCAGATCCACGTGAACCAATGGGCGAGCACATGCAGATCCACGTGAACCAATGGGTGAGCACATGCAGATCCACGTGAACCAATGGGTGAGCACATGCAGATCCACGTGAACCAATGGGTGAGCACATGCAGATCCACGTGAACCAATTGGGTGAGCACATGCAAATCCACGTCAACCAATGGGTGAGCACATGCAGATCCACGTGAACCAATGGGTGAGCACATGCAGATCCACGTGAACCAATGGGTGAGCACATGCAGGTCCACGTGAACCAATGGGTGAGCACATGCAGATCCACGTGAACCAATGGGTCAGCACATGCAGATCCACGTGAACCAATGGGTGAGCACATGCAGATCCACGTGAACCAATGGGTGAGCACATGCAGATCCACGTGAACCACATGCAGATCCACGTGAACCAATGCGTGAGCACATGCAGATCCACGTGAACCAATGGGTGAGCACATGCAGATCCACGTGAACCAATGGGTGAGCACATGCAGATCCACGTGAACCAATGGGTGAGCACATGCAGATCCACGTGAACCACATGCAGATCCACGTGAACCAATGCGTGAGCACATGCAGATCCACGTGAACCAATGGGTGAGCACATGCAGATCCACGTGAACCAATGGGTGAGCACATGCAGATCCACGTGAACCAATGGGTGAGCACATGCAGATCCACGTGAACCAATGGGTGAGCACATGCAGATCCACGTCAACCAATGGGTGAGCACATGCAGATCCACGTCAACCAATGGGTGAGCACATGCAGGTCCACGTGAACCAATGGGTGAGCACATGCAGATCCACGTGAACCAATGGGTGAGCACATGCAGATCCACGTGAACCAATGGGTGAGCACATGCAGATCCACGTGAACCAATGGGTGAGCACATGCAGATCCACGTGAACCAATGGGTGAGCACATGCAGATCCACGTGAACCACATGCAGATCCACGTGAACCAATGCGTGAGCACATGCAGATCCACGTGAACCAATGGGTGAGCACATGCAGATCCACGTGAACCAATGGGTGAGCACATGCAGATCCACGTGAACCAATGGGTGAGCACATGCAGATCCACGTGAACCAGTGGGTGAGCACATGCAGATCCACGTGAACCAATGGGTGAGCACATGCAGATCCACGTGAACCAATGGGTGAGCACATGCAGATCCACGTGAACCAATGGGTGAGCACATGCAGATCCACGTGAACCAGTGGGTGAGCACATGCAGATCCACGTGAACCAATGGGTGAGCACATGCAGATCCACGTGAACCAATGGGTGAGCACATGCAGATCCACGTGAACCAATGGGTGAGCACATGCAGATCCACGTGAACCAATGGGTGAGCACATGCAGATCCACGTGAACCAATGGGTGAGCACATGCAGATCCACGTGAACCAATGGGTGAGCACATGCAGGTCCACGTGAACCAATGGGTGAGCACATGCAGATCCACGTGAACCAATGGGTCAGCACATGCAGATCCACGTGAACCAATGGGTGAGCTGATCCACAGCACTCGGTGGAATCATTTTTTCTCGTAGTCTCCTACCTTGCAATTCTCGTAGTCTCCTACCTTTCAATTCTCGTAGTCTCCTACCTTGCAATTCTCGTAGTCTCCTACCTTGCAATTCTCGTAGTCTCCTACCTTGCAATTCTCGTAGTCTCCTACCTTGCAATTCTCGTAGTCTCCTACCTTTCAATTCTCGTAGTCTCCTACCTTGCAATTCTCGTAGTCTCCTACCTTGCAATTCTCGTAGTCTCCTACCTTGCAATTCTCGTAGTCTCCTACCTTGCAATTCTCGTAGTCTCCTACCTTGCAATTCTCGTAGTCTCCTACCTTGCAATTCTCGTAGTCTCCTACCTTGCAATTCTCGTAGTCTCCCACCTTGCAATTCTCGTAGTCTCCTACCTTGCAATTCTCGTAGTCTCCTACCTTGCAATTCTCGTAGTCTCCTACCTTGCAATTCTCGTAGTCTCCTACCTTGCAATTCTCGTAGTCTCCTACCTTGCAATTCTCGTAGTCTCCTACCTTGCAATTCTCGTAGTCTCCTACCTTGCAATTCTCGTAGTCTCCTACCTTGCAATTCTCGTAGTCTCCTACCTTGCAATTCTCGTAGTCTCCTACCTTGCAATTCTCGTAGTCTCCTACCTTGCAATTCTCGTAGTCTCCTCCCTTGCCATTCCCTCCATGCCGTTCTTCCCTCTCCCTCCCTCTCTCTTCAACCCCCTCCCTCGTCAACCCCCTCCCCCTCCCCCCCCCCCCCGCCACGCCCTTGTACAGGCCAACCAAGCCACTCTCTCCTTCCTCGCCTCTCTCCTGCACGTCAACTCCTCCTGCGCCGCTCTCCCCACCTCCTCTCGCCCCTCCCTCACCTGGACGCGCCCCTCCAACACCGCCCCCTCTCCCAGCCGCCGCAAGCGCTTTGATAAAACAGAGGGCACGGGCCTGTTTGCCCGGGAGGAAAGGGAAACAGCAGAGGCTCAAGCAGGACCAGGAGGGGGGGTGGAAGGGTCAGAAGGAGACGCTCTGACCAATCAGGAGCAGCCGGCGCATCCCTGGAGCTGTGTTCCTGAGCTGCCGGCTGTTGATTGGCCGCGGCTGAGGTGGCGGTTTGATTGGCCCACGTTCACCATCCATGCCACGTCAGACAGGAAGCCATTGGCAGTTAGAGCATGGTGAGAGATGGTGGGGAGGAGTAGAGTGGGCAGGAAGTAGAGGAGGGAAACAGGGAAAGGCGAGGGGGGGAGGGTTGGGAACAAGGGAGGTGGAGGGGGAAGGGGCAGATTGAGAGGAAGCAGAAGTGAGAGAGAGAAGGTGAGGGGTAGGGGGAGGGGGAAGGAAGGGGAGGGGGAGGGTGAGAGGGAGGGGGAGGGGGAACGGGAGGGGGAGGGAGGGGATGAGGTAGGAGTGGAAGTAAACGATAGGGAAGATGGGTGAGTGTGCGGCTGCTGCCATTCAACCTCTCATTCCGCCTTCTGTATGTTTCATGGGATCACACATGTCATGGGATCACATGTTTCACGTGTGGGATTCATTCATTACAATTGTGCATTCTGGCTTTTACAACAACTTTTTGCTTTATTTCTCTTCATTCCCTTCTCACCCTCAAAAACCCAAAACTCGCATACCAACCCTTCTTCCTTTCCCCCCCTTCCCCCTTCCCCCCATTCTATTCCCCTTCCCCTCCCTTCCCCCACCCCCCCTACCATGCTCCCTGTGTCTCACAGGACTGGCAAAACAGCCAGCGAGCGACGAGACTTCCGCTTTGTGCTGCAGCGAGGCTCCAAGGGGTGGTGAGTGGTGCAAAGGGGTGGTGAGTGGTGCAAAGGGGTGGTGAGAGGTGCAAGGGGTGGTGAGTTGTGCAAAGGAGTGGTGAGTGGTGTATTGCAAAGGGGTGGTGAGTGGTGCAAAGCGGTGCTGAGTGGTGTGCCGTATGCCTGCTCGTGCAGCCCAACCCCTAATTCCTCTGCACCTGCGTCCCTCTCTCTCGTCATCCCCCAACCCTCTCAACTCCATGTTCCCCATCTCACCCCCTCCTCCTCCCTGTGCTAACACCATGTTGCCAACGGCACCATGCCAATGGCACCATGCCAATGGCACCATGCCAATGGCACCTATGTTGGAAAAAACGCTCAGGCTTCTACGCGTATCACGTTTATACGAGAACGTATATACGGAAAAACGTGATACGTTCCGTAATCCGCGATACGTTTCGTCGGGCAGCCCGAAAAAAAAAGAGAAAATCCTGTTGCCGCTGATTCCGCGATCTGCAATTCTGTGAAACCTAATTTTGAGATTCGAAACTCGAATGCCCCCCTCCCCTCCCCTCCACCGCACATCACCTCACACCACCTCCCAAACCCAACCTTCCCTTACGAGCTGCTCGCACGCCAGCGTGAGTACAACAGCGAATCTCATTTGTCCCACACCAAGTTTACTGCTATTGCTAGCAGCGGCGTCGCGTCACTTGCAGATCTTAGCAACCGCAACCGCAATATTAGGACGACTCTAGCCAACAATTTCGTACTGGCGTAAACCCCACGGGAGTTATCCGCATCAAGTATCGCTAAAGCTCTTTCCCTATAAGCATTCTACCTCAACTGAAATGGTTTTCCCCTGCCCTAAAATTTTTTTAACCTGCCCGACGCACCGTATTTCGAGGTTTTTTGTACGCTGGAAATTTGCGTATCGCGTATGTACGATACCGTATAGTTCGTACGCGTTCCGTACGCCATACGCGTATTTTGCAACATAGAATGGCACCATGCCAATGGCACCATGCCAATGGCACCATGCCAATTGTACCATGCCAATGGCACCATGCCAATTGTACCGGGCACGTATGCAGGCAAGTTCGACCTGTGTGTGCATTCCATGCAATTCTTCCTCTGTTTACCTCTTCACCTCTCTCCCTTCATTCTCCCCGTCCCTTCCCACCCTCCCACCCCCTCTCCCCTAAACCCCTCCCTTCTCCTCTGAGCACGGCGCCCATGCCAACGGTGCCGGGCACATATGCAGGCAAGTTTGACCTGTGCATCCAGGCAACGCCATTCTTCCTCTGTTGCACCTATTCACCTCTCTCCCTTCATTCTCCCCCCCTTTTCCCACCCTCCCACCGCCCCCGCCCTTCTCCTTTCAGCACGGCGCCCATGCTAACGGTGACCTGTGCATCCAGGCAACGCCTTTCTTCCTCCATTGCACTTGTTCACCTCTCTCCCTTCATTCTCCCCCCTTTTTCCCACCATCCCCGCCCTTCTCCTTTCAGCACGGCGCCCATGCCAACGGTGCCGGGTACATACGCCAGCAAGTTTGACCTGTGTGTGCTGCTCATACCCTTCTTCCTCTGCTGCAATGCTGACCCAACCCCCCCACCCCACGCCACCCCATTCCACCCTCCCATCTCCCCCCCCTGCCGTGGCAGCACGGCGCCCATGCCAACGGTGCCGGGCACGTATGCAGGCAAGTTTGACCTCTGCATCCAGGCAACGCCCTTCTTCCTGCACACCATCTCGCCGCCCAAGCACCACCCCGACGATGGCTTGTGGCACTTCAGCTCCACCATCAGCGACGTTCCCAAGGTGACTGTAATGAGGGTGATTTTGCTTTTGAAAAAGCGCTTTGCTAGGTGACTGCAGTGTTCTAAAGGAGACTAAAGTGAGGGGCCGCAAGGTGACTGACTGAGGGACTTTCCCAAGTTGATTTGTGTGACAATTGTTTTCGGTGTGGTTGCTGCATTCCTTGCACAGCATGTTTGATTCTTCCGTTTCTTTCTGCTTGGAAAAAAAAAGAGAGAGAGAGAGAGAGAGAGAGAGAGAGAGAGAGAGAGAGAGAGAGAGAGAGAGAGAGAGAGAGAGAGAGAGAGAGAGAGAGAGAGAGAGAGAGAGAGAGAGAGAGAGAGAGAGAGAGAGAGAGAGAGAGAGAGAGAGAGAGAGAGAGAGAGAGAGAGAGAGAGAGAGAGAGAGAGAGAGAGAGAGAGAGAGAGAGAGAGAGAAAAGAACCACTGTGCTACGCACACATATGGATTGATATGCTCTGCGTGTCACTTGCAGGTGGGGTTTCGGGCATTTTGGATTGAAGCTGATTTTGCAATTCCACAAAGAAAAGCTCCCTTTGTGTTGACAACCGAAGCCATTCTAGCCCCAAATAAGCTGCCGTTCTCACCCTGTCAGCCAGGCAACTATTCTTGCCAACATCGTTGGATATGATGAGATATGCCACGCGGTTGGACTTGCCATTCGTACTGGCAATACTGGAATTGTTGAAATTGTTGTATCCATACCGTATTGATCTTCATGTGGTAGTTGATCCCGCTGGAGTTTTTAATTCGCTCATAGGTTTTTCAGACAGGAAACATTACCTCGGGTCCTGAGAATTTCGGTGGGTAGAGCCATCTAAATCTGGTGGGTTTCGCCTGTGCATTGCTGCATTGCTCACCCGACACAGAAGAGCTGATTCGCAGCCTAGGTGGCTGGTGTTTCAAACAGTTCTGTCGGATTGGTCGCTGTGGTGCACACCCTTCTGGATTGTTATGAAGCAACTTATGAAGGGACGGGGTCCTTTTCTGCCAACTCGGTAAACGCTTTTGTACCGGAAACTATCAAGCGGAGGTTTTAGGGCTCGTTTGAGATGGTCAATTCGGTCAATCACCTCTTGGCTGTCATCGCTTCAGACCATTGCGCACCAGGATAAACCTTCCAAAATTAGCCGACCACAGAGAGTATTGTCAGAATATAATGCTTGTCTAGTCTGTAGTGGGGTACTCAATAGTGAGTATAACCCTTTTGGGCTTGCTATTTGTATCCCTCTCCTTTCTAGTTCAATCACCTTTCTTCTCCTATTTCTCTTTCGTATACTCTAAAACCTAGCCATGGCTTCTTACCCTTAGCTTCTATCTCAACATGGAATCAGAGCTGTTACGCTCTTGGCCTGTGGGCCTTACGTGCTTCCGCTGCTTTCCTGTCTGTCGCGCGCCCCGTGGCGCGCGACGCCCTTTTTTTCTTCCCGCCGCGCGCCTGCCCCGTCGGCCTGCGCGTCTCCCCCCCCCCCCCCAACCCCCCGCTTTCCCCGTCGCGGCACCCTGGGGAGTTGCGCGCGGCCCCCCGCTGCCCCGTCGCGGCGCCCTGGGGAGCCGCGCGCGGCCCCCGTTTCCTCGTCGCAGCGCCCTGGGGAGCCGCGCGCGGCCCCCCGCTGACTCGTCGCGGCGCCCAGGGGAGCCGCGCGCCGCCCCCGGGGACGCGCGCGCCCGTCCCCCTGGACCCGCGCGCCCCTCCCCTGGACCCGCGCGCCGCCCCCGGGGACCTCCGCGCTCGCCCTCGTCGACCCGCGCGCCGTCCCGGTTCACCACGAGCGCCGCCCCCGCTGCTGCCCGTGCTCCTGCCTGTGTTAGGGTTTGGTGTTGGCGAGTGTAGGGGTGGCGAGTATGGGGGTGACAAGTGTGTGCCGTCCCCTGCTCCTCCTCCTCCTCTGTCTCCCACTGCTGCAGCTGCCGCTGAGGGGGGTGGATGTGTGGGAGCCGTCGGAGTGGTGCTTGGGGGGTGGAGTGTGAGTGGAGCTAGGGGTTCAGCAGGGGGTGTGTGAAAGGGGGTGGGAAAGTTGGGGGAGGTTGAGTGGAGGTAGCAGTCTTGTCGTCCGCAGCGCCTGTAGTCCGGGGCCCTTGCCGCTGGTAGCCCAGAGAGCCTGCTGCGCCTGTCGCCCGTGGGTCCGTTGCTCCTGTCTGAGCCTGTTACTCCTGTAGTCCGGGGCCCTTGCTCCGGTAGCAACTGAGCCAGCCGCTCCTGTGGCCCGTGTGTCTGCAGCTTCAGCAGTCGCCTCCCATCTCTTCTCCTCTCACAGTCACTCCTCCTCCTCACTTGCCCTGTGTGACTGCCTCTAGCTTTGCTTGAACTTGTGAACCTGCTCTATGACTGCTTGCTGTGCTGATTATACCCCACTTTGACTATGGGGGTGTGTCAGAATATAATGCTTGTCTAGTCTGTAGTGGGGTACTCAATAGTGAGTATAACCCTTTTGGGCTTGCTATTTGTATCCCTCTCCTTTCTAGTTCAATCACCTTTCTTCTCCTATTTCTCTTTCGTATACCCTAAAACCTAGCCATGGCTTCTTAGCCTTAGCTTCTATCTCAACAAGTATGACCCCCCTAGTCTTAGTAGCGTCCTGTGTACATAATAAGATATACTACCTAGTCACACAGACGTCCATTGCCTTCTCCGCAAATTTCGCTCAGGGAGGGGCTGTTCTTGAGCTTCGCAAAGGATGACGACAGTTGTTTTAATAGCTTCAGATGAAGCTTTAGTCGCCAAGTGTGTTCAGAAGATTGTCAGACCCGTTCAGCCCGACCCATTGAGTTATTCTCAAGGCGCTATGTTTTCTCGCTTCATATCAAGTGCCTGGCAGGCTTCATGGGTACTACGTCGAACGGACACAGTTTCACTCCTCGGTCGATCTTGATTCACGCACTGCGATTGCGGACTCCGTGTGTTACGCATTAACCTACCTTTCTGCCTAACAACCTAGAGCTCCTAAGGCACTCGTCGAGAATCAGCTCGATGGAATTTGTGCAACGGGAGGTTGGAAGAGAAGGGTTGGGTTGGAAGGGAAATGTTGGCTTGGAAATTCCAAACCTCAACCAATAGGATTGGAATATTCCAACCCATCAAAGTTGAGACTTGAAGGTTGGATTAGCAACCAATCAGAAACTGCCAAACATTTGTTACAATCCACTCTATCCTAAACACAACCATTCAATGGTCCTAAGTTGGGTTTTTCAACCCAACACAATTGCCACATAGGCTCCAAGCCTAGGAACCCTCCCACCATGGAAGCCATGGTTGGGAGAGTTCCCAAAGGGGTGTATTGAGGGGGTTTGAGCTACCAAGCTCATTCTCAACCTCCCACTCCAACTAATCAATTGGAAATGGGATTGTTTCTCTAAGTCATTTTGGGCTCTCTCACAAACCTTCCTACACAATTCTCTCAAGATATTTCAACAACTCCTTCAAGAAGATTGACACCTCCAAGGCTATTGGGAGCTAGTTAAGGCCTCAACTTGTATAGAGATTTTATTATAAAGCATTATAATCACCATTACTGTAATAGCCTTGGGTGTTACATTTGTATTTAGAGCAAGGTTCTTCCTTGGCCTTGTGTGGCCATTTGCTACTTGGATTTTTTTTTTTTTTTTTTTTTTAAAGAGGATCCTAGCTTGTGGATCTAGGATTTTATCCAAGGAGCAGTGAGGATTTTGAAGAAATTTCAAGATCTACAAAACCATCTTCAAGATCTACATCTTCAAACTTCAACTTCTTCACACCACCATTGGAGCTACAAGATCTACAAGGAGCTCCTCTTCTTCATCAACATTGTGAAGAAATTTGACGAGAAATTTAATTTCTCTTACCCACCATTGGTGGAAGACTCTTGATCTACCTTGGGTAGAAGAGTGTATCTTCAAATCTACAAGGACTTGTTGAGGATTGCTCTTTTGAGTATATCTTGCTCTATCATTGAGGTGATAGAGAAATTTAGCAAACAAGTCAATCTTAAGAGGTTCTGTATTGGATGATTCTATAAGAATAATCAGGTTTCTTAAAGATTATTATAAGATCTGTTTAGATCTCCTCTCCTTAACTTGTTTCATGGCTTCTTGTCAAGAGATGGATGCTACTAAGGAGGTGCCCATTGCTGGCAATGAGGGAGATACATCACAAAAACCCTATGCCAAGTTTGGACGAATTTTGATTGCGATTGTCTTCGCGTAAAAAAATCCGGACCCAATTTCGACCGACGGTTGGAGTCGTTTGATAGGAGCTCCGACACACATCTCGCGACAAGGCTTGGCTCGGGTCAAGTTCCAAATTGGCACGCGTGCTTTTCCGGAAGACATTCGCGCGCAATCCGTTTTGGTGCAATTTCGTGACCAGATCATTTAAAATAGAATTTATTTTTTGTTTTATTTATGGGCTTGAGGATCTCAGAATTACATTCAATATTCCGGTTTACAGCAACCATTATTCAGCATTGTAACAACAAGCAGTTTTAACACCTAGTGAAATAGCCTACTCAATGGTGGGCCCTGCAAGCGCCCGGTGGGCAAGAACAACATCTCCAAGGTCGCCATCGTCGATGAGGAACTTGTTCGGGAAGACGAACGCACCCTGAGCCGGATCGTGTGGGATGCGTCGCTCCACGACGGCAAAGTGTATCATCTGTTTGACCTTGTCACACCATTCGAAGTAGTCCGGCCTGTTTTGTTCCGGCTGGGCCGGAATTCGCTTGCGGCGCTTGTCCTGCAGAAGGGGCCACTCGATCTGCAATGTGGTGTAGGGTTGGGTGGATGGTGTATGAGGGGGGGTAACGGGTATATGCTCCAGCTGAACCAGGTGAAGACGACACATCCTACGTAACCGCAAACGCCTAAGCGACCAGGGATTTAGATGAAGTACAGGCAAGGGGTTTAGGGGATGATGCATGGGTGTAGAGACACATATCTACCTCCTTACCGAAAACAGGCCCCATGCCACCATGCGGCTCTTGAACTTGGTGAACACGACCCCGCTCCTCTTGAAGGAGAGCTTGAACGCATAAGCAAACAAGGGGTTGCTGAAGGGTGTTCCGGTGGCCTTGTCAAAGTGCCAGTTGAGGGCCCACTGTTCTGCATTTTGGAGGGAGCGTATGGGTTGGAAAGGGGGTGCAGATAGATCAGGTGGGGGGGTGAGAGACAGGGTCAGAGTACCACGACACGGTTATTTGTAGCTGCTGACTGGCTTATGGGCAGGGGGATATGGTGTGTTTGAGACGCACATACCATCTCTGTACTCCGCCAGGAGTTGCTCGTCGTTGAACCACTTCTTTGGGTGTAGCTCAGTGGGCAGGCAATCCACCGCATTGGCGTAATCGGAGAGACCCATGCCGGCGTACGTTGCTGGCCTGAGGGTGGTGTTGATTGTTGACCTGGTTGATGACATCTGGTGGTTGAAAACACCCATGGTTGACTTGTCGTTGTGCAACCACAGCAGCTTCATTGACTCTAGCCCCTCGGCAGACAAGTGGACAGCGAAGGCCTCGAACACTTCCTCCGGTGCAGGGTAATACTGAATTTTCTCCGGGGGGTTCAGAAACAGGAGCTGAGAGCACACTAAGTAGGCTTTGCTCTGCGCAGGGGTGTGGGGTTTACAACACGACACGGGGAGAGAGAAATTATTAGTAATGACTGTGGCCGGGTGACCACAGGATGGACTGTAGGAACTTTCCACGTCAGCCCCCACCCCTCACGTCCCGCCACGTCACACCCTCCTGCATCCGCCACGTCAGGGAACAACAACCAGGCCCACGTGCCACGTCACACCCACCCACCCCATGCCACGTCACCCCCCCCACCCACCTGACACGACCAGCATCGTCACGCGCCACTCCCGTGTAACCTTCCAGGCCGCCACGTCAGCCCCAAGCCTCACATCCCGCCACGTCACACCCTCCTGCATCCGCCACGTCAGGGAACAACAACCAGGCCCACGTGCCACGTCACACCCACCCACCCCATGCCACGTCACCCCCCCACCCACCTGACACGACCAGCGTCGTCACGCGCCACTCCCGTGTAACCTTCCAGGCCGCCACGTCAGCCCCAAGCCTCACATCCCGCCACGTCACACCCTCCTGCATCCGCCACGTCAGGGAACAACAACCAGGCCCACGTGCCACGTCACACCCACCCACCCCATGCCACGTCACCCCCCCACCCACCTGACACGTGTCGCCTGGTCCCGCGCCGCTCCCGTGTAACCTTCCAAGCCGCCACGTCAGCCCCACCCCTCACATCCCGCCACGGCACACCCTCCTGCATCCGCAAAATCCACCAACGACCATCCCCACGTGACACGTCACACCCACCCTCCCCATGCCACGTCACCCCCCACCCACCGGACACGCGTCGCCTCGTCCCGCGCCGCTCCCCTGTACCCGTCCAAACCGCCACGTCAGCCCCAACCCTCACATCCGCCCACGTCACACCCACCCACCCCATGCCAAGTTACCCCCCACCCACCCCATGCCACGTCACCCCCCACCCACCTGAAGGCTCTCGCCCCGTCATGCGCCGCTCCCTTGCATCCGTTCAACACCACCACGTCATATCTCAACCCTCACCTTTTTTGCCACGTCACACGCCCTTGCGTCCGCCGCCTACACCAACAACTCAACCCACTTGCCACGTCGCACTCAGAGATCCGAAAGAGCCACGTCAGCCCCCGCCCACCTGTGGAGCCGCGTGTCGCCCTGCACCGCTCCCGCGCACCCTTTCCAACCGCCACGTCATCCCCAACCCTTCCCTGGTTGCCACGTCAACCCCAACCCGCCACATACCGGGAATGGGTTGGTCTCCCGAAGCACAAGCACACGTGCCCTGTCCACGGCACTCATCGGCGGCGGGGTACCAGCCATAGGCACCACTGCAGTCCCCCCGGCATAGCTGGCAGTTGCTCCACGACGCAGGCCGAGCTGAGCAAACATGGCGTACATCTCAGACCGTAGCTGCTGGAACTCGTCTCGTGTAACAAACTGCCCATGCTCTGCACCTTCGCCCAGCGCATCCATGACATCCGGAAAAGGGTGTGTAGAAACCCCTCTCTGGCCAAGGGGATCAACGTCTTCAGCAGCAGCCCCGTGTGCCCTCACACTATCACGCTGGCGGGGAAAGGGAGGCTCAGGGAAGGGATTGGCAGAAGTGCTTGGTTGATGCCCGCGCGATGGACCAGCGAGGGGGGAGACCGCCCTGCCCCGGACAGGAGAAGCGTGTAGTGGCCGAAATGGGTAAGAGGGAGAGGCGAGTGGGGAGTGCGTGACGGGGGCTGGTGGAGGGGATTCGGATTCCTCTCCTGTAGCCGCGCCGGGTGCAGTCGCAGCGACTTTGCTCGGGCCGGAGTATGGCGTGAAGAACCTTGGTGCTCCTGTGGATAGCGGTGCCACACTCGCTCTTCCGGCCCCTTTCGTTAGCTGCATCCGTTGCACGCTTACCGGTGGCCCAATGCCTGTAACACGGGGGGCTGAGAGTCACACGGAGGATGAGCACGGAGATGGTGTCTGCTATGTACATTTGGACACATGCACGCAAACGAGTAACCGCATGATTCAGACAGGGGTGTAGCTGGGAACTGTAGTGTATAGTCACGCCTTACCCGGTTTAGCCGATTCGTCAACCTTCTCCTTCCCTGCGGCGGGGAAACACGGGGTGGAACACGGAGTTGTTAGGGTCTGTTCATCACAAACCACGGCAGCTATGCCATGCGTTTGTGACACTTTGCGTACCTCGTTGCTGTCCCTTCGGTTTTGCTGCCTGCTCCTTATCGTTGCCCCCTTTCCGCGGTGTGCTTCGGCGGGTGCTGCCTCGTTTACGGGCAGGTTCCTTCTTTGCCGAACCTACAGGTACCCCTTTCGCGCGCCTTCCCTTTCCTTCTCCATCGCCTGCCCCACCCTGTCTCCCTTGCTTCCTTCCACCCCGGTCAGTTTCGACCTTCACTTTACGCGCCTTCGATTTGCCCGCTGGGCCGCCACGCATTGCGTCAACCGCCCCGCGTTTCCGGGATTGACCAGACCGGCCCCCCACCTTCCCTGTGCCACTCCCCCGTCTGCCTCGCGCGCCCCGTCCTTTCCCTGCCGGCTCCTCCTCCTCCTCCTCTTCCTCATCCGCCCCTTCCTCCACCTCCTCTTCCTCCACGTCGTCCTCCTCCTCCTCATCCTCCTCCTCACCATCATCCTCCTCCTCTTCCTCCTCCTCCTCCTCCTCCTCCTCCTCCTCCTCCTCCTCCTCCTCCTCCTCCTCATCCTCCTCCTCCTCCTCCTCCTCCTCCTCCTCCTCCTCACTCTTTTCCTCCTCAGGCTCGTCATCCCCCTCATCGTCCTCCTCCTCGTCCTCATCCTCATCCTCATCGTCCTCCTTCTCCTTCCCCTCGTCGCCATCCTCATCCTCCTCCTCCTCCTCATCATCGTCGTCCTCTTGCTCATCCTCGTCCTTTTCTTCCTCCCCTGCATCCTCGTCCTCCTCCTCCGCATCCTCCTCGGCCTCCTCCTCCCCATCCCCCTCGTCCTCAACATCCGCTTCACCAGGGCCTTCTTTGCCGCGCTTCGGCCTCTTCCCCCTCGAGGCTTGCTTGCCCCCCCGTCCGCTAGATGGTTTCCGCGGACCGGGTCGGCCCTTTTGCCGCAATGCATGATCTGTCGCCAAGCCACTTGGCTCCGTGGTGCCTCGCGTTGTCCCAACTTCAGCACCACCGGCGTCGTCACCGCTGGCTGTCGTCTGCCTCCTCTTTGCGCGTATGGGGATGTCCTCGGCCACGGGGGTGTCATACTCCTCCTCCCCATCGCTCTTCCTCTGCCTACGCCTCCCGCGTCCCCCAGAGGGAGGAGATCCACCGACGTCGGCAATGTCGTGTTTCGGCTCCTCCGTGCAATCGTGCGCAGCATTCTTCTCCTTATCTATCACTGCAGCAGATACTTCGACCACGGCCGGGGGGAGCAGCGTCATATGCTGCTGTGATGCCTCTGCCACGGACACCACAGTTGCGGCCTGGTCGTCGCCGGGAGCCTCGCCGTGCTTTCCTCCAGTCGCCAAGCCCTCTCTGTCCCCCGGCCGGACGGCAACACTCACGCCGCCACGCCCAGGGTCTTCGTTCCCGCCGATGGTGCCGTCGTCGGAAGGACCGGGCTTGAGGGCAGCAGTGGCAACACCCGCATCGCTCTTCACGGCCGAAACACGCTTGCGTGCCGTTGGTTGCTTCCCCTTGTCCTCCGCCTTCTTCCCGGACTTCTTCGTTCCAACCTCAGCCTTCTTCCCCGCCGCACGTTTCCTTTGGTTGGTTTGCGCGGTGGCCACTTTAGTAGCCCTAGATCTGGCCCCACCCTCATGGTCGGTCTGTATCGACATCCGCCGTGTCGTGCGTCGTTTTGCCTGCTCCTTCTCCTTTTCTGTTTGCCGAGTTGCACGTGTCATGAGGGTTGTACGAATGCAAGTTATAACTTGCGGGATTGTTTAGCCAGCTTTAGAAAATAGCCGAAAGGATTGTTACTAATTTACTCCGTCCCGGTCAAGCCAATATTGTCTCACCATAAATCGCAGGTACGGTTACAACTGAAGAAGTAGCTACTAAGCACATGGCGTCAGCCCTTTGCTTCGTCGCTACTCTGACTCACTGGCGATCTGGAAACACCTGTGTTCAGCATCGAGCGGCGTCAAGGTAGTGGGTATGAGGGTGACGGAAGATGGTGAGTGGGGCACGACGGTCGTTGGGGTGGTTTGCGAGTCTAGAGAGGGGACTGTAAGCAGACAGCCACAATCGGACGGTCTACGATTAGCCACCCGATCAATAACCCACTAAACGCGGGATCACAGCCGCTGCTTCCGCGGCGAATGTCCAGCTTGGCTGGTCCGGTCATGGGGAGGGGGGTCGTTTGAGATGCGTCGGCCAATCAGCGCCGCTCGCATCAATCTCCGCAGAATCTAGTACCGTTTCGACACCACCAATCATCGCATCCTGCAAAATACAGTGCCAATGTGCATTGATCAAATTTAAACATAGGAGCAGAATACACTTGCAAAGAACAACTAAAACCATTTGTATTGAACTTGGCCGCTTGTGGTGTCATGTTGTGTTAAGTCTAGGGAGTGCATCTGGCATCGGACACGCTCTTTGACCTACCAACTCGTGGACTATGGAATGCTATACTGAGCACACATTCAGGGTTGGCGACGGATACTGGTCGTTGGAACTTGTTCAGGCACGACGTGTACTAGTGCCAACTGGAATGGAGATGTGGTGTGGTGTTGGCGTGTAAATTCATGCGTGAGCCCTCGACATGGTGTATAGAGGGTGTGGAATGAAGCACAGGTCCAACGCACGAGCGAGGGTGCGTTATCGACAGCGCTGTTCCAACGCGGCGACGTTGCAGCGTTCGCAGACATACAGGGCTTGCGCGATATGGTGAATCCGTAATGGAATGGTGCTGGCTTGGGCTCTATCCTTGCGTGGGCCCTCGACATGGTGTATAGAGGGTGTGGAATGAAGCACAGGTCCAACGCACGAGCGAGGGTGCGTTATCGACAGCGCTGTTCCAACGCGGCGACGTTGCAGCGTTCGCAGACATACAGGGCTTGCGCGAGATGGTGAATCCGTAATGGAATGGTGCTGGCTTGGGCTCTATCCTTGCGTGGGCCCTCGACATGGTGTATTGAGGCTGTGGAATGAAGCACAGGTCCAACGCACGAGCGAGGGTGCGTTATCGACAGCGCTGTTCCAACGCGGCGACGTTGCAGCGTTCGCAGACATCCAGGGCTTGCGCGAGATGGTGAATCCGTTATGGAATGGTGTTGGCTTGGGCTCTATCCTTGCGTGGGCCATTGACATGGTGTATTGAGGCTGTGGAATGAAGCACAGGTCCAACGCACGAGCGAGGGTGCGTTATCGACAGCGCTGTTCCAACGCGGCGACGTTGCAGCGTTCGCAGACATCCAGGGCTTGCGCGAGATGGTGAATCCGTTATGGAATGGTGTTGGCTTGGGCTCTATCCTTGCGTGGGCCCTCGACATGGTGTATAGAGGGTGTGGAATGAAGCACAGGTCCAACGCACGAGCGAGGGTGCGTTATCGACAGCGCTGTTCCAACGCGGCGACGTTGCAGCGTTCGCAGACATACAGGGCTTGCGCGAGATGGTGAATCCGTAATGGAATGGTGCTGGCTTGGGCTCTATCCTTGCGTGGGCCCTCGACATGGTGTATAGAGGGTGTGGAATGAAGCACAGGTCCAACGCACGAGCGAGGGTGCGTTGTCGACCGCAGCGTCTAAACAGGCGACGCTGTAGCGGTCAGGCCTTGGGTGTTGCGCAACAAGGTGAGTCCGTTGTGGTACGGTGTTGGATTGTCCTCTAGCCTTAGACAGATATTCAAGTAGGTGCCTCTAAGGGGTATGAATGAGAGGCCCAACGCACAAGCGGCGATGCGTTATCGTGAGGGCACGGAGTTCTTGTGTACTTCCCGTATGTAGCCAGATCACACAAGAGATGAGAGGATATGGTGTTCAGACTGTCACGTTGTCAACTAGGGGTGGATATCGAGCAGGTCTTTTCATATGACTATGTCCTAGTTATCAACAAAGACTTTACTGTGTAGAGAAAAAACAATTCTACAATGTACTATCATTGTATTTGGGCTATGGTCAAGCGCAACACTATGCGCTCACTTACGTGTGCGCGATTTCCCCCCTATAACGCTTCGCGACCGAATCACAGATCCAAGCGGATCTCTTCCCGCTCTTCCTCATCCCACTCGACTCTCATGCACCAAGGGTGCGTGAATCCACAGGCACGTCGTTCTCACCATGCTCGCAACGCACACACACGACCCACCGTCTTAAGATCAGGCGCATTTCCCGCTGCTCACGACGTGGTCTGTCTAAACGGGGGCGACACGCCTTGTAGGGAAGACGATCCGTGCTGTGAGCGGTCTGTACCGTGCCTTGTCACGACCGCGCGGCTCGAACATCGTTTGTCAGTCCCAAACATCGTTAAGTGGCCCGCTCAAGTGCCAGTCGTGCAGTGATACAAGCCGCCTTCGACAGTGCGCGGTTTGGCGATGACCTGGTTGCATTAACAGCCTTCTTGAACGGTGTACTTAATGCCTTCTCAAGCTTCCCACGACGCTAGTTGCTTCACAGGCCATTTCTCAACACTTAGACAGATCCGTAAAGCATGGGCTCCTTGCCTGGCGTCGTCTGCGAGTTCTGCAACAGATGGTTCCCCAACGCCCAAGTTTATGGCGGTCATAAGTCACGGCGGACCCCTTGTCAAGGCCTTTCCGCCGTGGCAAGGCCCTCGCGATCTGCACCGTCAGCCGGTCTACACGCACTGCTATTCGTCCACGACATTCTGTCGGACGCTCCCGCTGCTCCCGCTTCCCCTACCGCGTCTAACGCGTCCAACACCGACGGTGTGAATGGTCCTCCTCGCGTCCCGGTAGCTGACGAGGACGCAACACCCTCGGCTGTGAACGTGGGGGCTCCTGAATCTGAGCATCAACCGTCACCAGAAACACCTGCAGATGACACGAGTGAGCATCAGGGGTGCCGCCCTGGAGTGAGTCACGCGGCACCGCCGACAATCATTTCCGGGGAGAGCAATGCGACGCCCCTCAGTCCGATTGCGTTGAAACTGCTGCATTTCGTGAGGCGCGTAAATGGCGGAATGGGCATGGCGGAGATCGACATCAATGGCCTGCTTCAGCTCGTGGTGGAGCCCGGCCTTGCGCCTCTTGTGATCTCAGAGATCCGGAACTGCAAGGATCTGGAGCGGTTCGAGATGGAGCGCTTGGTAGGGCTCAATCGCGGATGGTCAGTGGCGACCTTCGAGATTGAGGGTCATCCGCCACAGCGCCTCCTCTTCCAGAACTCCGCGCAGGTAAGCCGACTCTGGAACCGTGGATGCGAACTGCAGATTCCTCATCCTTGTGGAGCTTGTTGGGAATGTTGCCTTTGTTAGGCATGTGTGCGATCTGGCCCGTGAAACGCTCCCGCCACTAAACCAGGGTTTGGTTCTCTCCCGCTCTTGATCCCGCACTCCAGGCATTTGCTGAACTGTTTGGGCACACCAACAACGCACCCGGCTTCAAGCTCAAGGCTCGTGTTGATGAGGACCCTGACAGAGGCGAGCGTCGCTATACCACGCCAGAAACAGGAACGTGGTGGAACGATGCTCAGGTATGTAAATACCCCGCTGCCACCCAAAACCACACGCGTGCGCATGCGTCCGTTGATGCGCTGATGTGTAGGCAGCATCTTCAGTGCGTCATCTTCGTGGGGAGTTTTTTGTATCAGGCTCAATCCGCCTGGCGACACTTTACCTTGATGGTGTTTGACCGTGTGTTGTTTCCGTCTTTGTCGTGCAATGCAGGAACACTTCGGATGGTCCGAAGTCGTGGGGGGTATCATCCTATATTCAGATGTGACCCACATGAGCAACAACGGCCGGAAGAAGGCGTGGCCGCTCATGATGACGCTTGCCAACATCTCCCAGGCCAAGCGATGGGGGAAAGCCGGGCACACGCTACTTGCTCTCCTTCCTATCCCCCCTTCTGCAATGACTGCCGTCGAGAAGGTGATTCTCTTCCAGCGATGCGTCATCACCGTGCTGCAGCCGCTTCTTGATGGCATGGACAGGTCCGTACTCGATTTCCGTCATGCTATGTCGTCACCGTAGCAACAGCATAGCGTGCGCAGCGTTTTTGTATGTTGCATTACCCTTTGCCCCTCCTCGCTGATGCACAGAGTCGTCCTGGCTGTTGCTGTTCCCACTCTACCCGTTCCTCGCAGCGGCCTCCGTCTCAAGGACCCTTTCGACGATTGGCAAACAGTGCGGCCACTGCTGTACGCCTGGGTGTGCGACTATCCCGAGAGCGGCAAGATCAGTTGCACACTCTCGCATGGATCGCGGATGCCGTGCAGCATCTGCTATGCTGCAAAGGTGAGCAAACATGCCAGCTGCGCGCCTTCAGCACCATCGTCATCTGAATGGCACGTGACGGACCTCCTAATCTTACCTCCCTTACCTGTTCATCCCTTCCAACCCCCCGTGCTACACCAGGAGCATTTGGTTGCTGTCAAGGCACGGAACACGCCGCGCACGCCTGAACAGCAGCAATGGATCGTGAATGAGGCGGCTGGGTTGACATCAAGCCAGGCCGACCCATGCAAGACCTACTCGACCTACCCGGTTGAGGTGAGCGACCTGTCCCCTTCGCTAATTTGTAGTCTATGCACTCCGTGTTGCTAAACCCAGGGGGAGATGTGCACTGCCATTGCACTGCCCCACATGTTGGCCGAGTCTCTCATATACCCTTCTCTACCATTCCACACCACAACCCCTCCGCCAGTGTGTGCT